AATTCAAAAGGCACGTCTGAGATTATGCTTGTAATAATATTTCCGTTCACTCCGGAATCTCTATCTGTTACACTAAGTAGAGAAATAACTGTGCCAGGCTTGGAGTCCTCGGATACTGAATTTGATAGTGACGTGATTTCTATTTCTGGTGGATTGTCATTAACATCTGTGATTTTTATGATGACTCTGCACTCACCCGTCAGTGGGGGTGTTCCTTTATCGGACGCCTCAATATCAAGTTTGTAAACGTCATTTTCTTCATAGTCAATCAATCCCTCTACTATAATTTCCCCACTTAACTTGTCCAGTTCAAATATATCATACACTTTCTTCTTTAGAGTTTTTCCAAGGCTATATTCAACTGCTCCATTTAAGTTTTCATCTGGATCTGTCGCATTAACTTTAAATATTTTGGTGCCAACCAAAACGTTTTCTGGGACTGAAATTTCATAAATTTCCTTACTAAACATTGGGCGATTGTCATTAATGTCTAGAACAATAACGGTAACATTTAGGGTTCCGGATCTTGGAGGTTTAGCCCCATCAACTGCTGTAATGACAAGCGAATGGTTGCATTTTTGCTCTCTGTCCAGCGACTTTTTTAGGACTAAAAATGGTATTTTGTCCTCGTCACTTTGGCGGACATCTAATTCAAAATGATCGTTTGGTGTTAAGGTGTAGGTATGAATGGAATTAAGTCCTGCATCAGGATCACGAGCGGTGTGTAGCTGGAACCGCCTTCCTGGCAATGTATGTTCGGCTATTTCAAATCTCTGATTTCTTTCGGAGAAATTAGGAGAATGATCATTTACATCAGTAATTTCCACAACTACATAATGCATTTCCAGTGGGTTTTCAACAAGAATTTTTAGCTCCAATAAGCACGCGCCACTTCCTTGACAGAGAACCTCTCTGTCGATTTTCTTGCGAACATAGAGAGCCCCATTGTCCTGGTTTACCTCAAAAAAGACGTCCGTATTTCCAGACACAACACGAAAACGTCGATCAGCCAAAGAATTGATGTCAAGGCCCAGATCTTTCGCAATATTTCCAACTACAGTTCCATCTGCAACCTCCTCTGGAACAGTATATCGTATCTGAGAAAAAGCCTCCTTCCCAAAAAGCAGCAATACGGCCAAATGAAAAACAAACCAGTAACCCTTCATCGTTCGTGATCCTGTAGTGATCTTCATAGCTATTTAACAGTACCTACATACACAGAAGCTCCCTGCGTCGACAAACAGCAAGTTATCGCATATTTGCAAAATATCAACCGTCCATCAGCTGGTGGGTTTGGTTTTAACGCGCAATTTGCCCTCCTCAATCTGAAACAAAAGCCTTGAAAGAGGAGGGACGGAGTCATTTTTTTCTTCCGATGTAAGAGTGACACCCAGAGGAGATGTGTTACAAAACGTGATTCATATTATACATATATTTTGTCTTCTCTATATGCTTTCTTTCCGCCTTATAAATTAAAGCGAATGTACTATTTTTTCCTGACATAGAACTTAATGCACTCGAAGAAGCATTAGGAAACATGGATCTGATAGTACTTAGATTGATTCTATAGGGATGAATTTCATTTTTACTTTGATCGCCATGGGCATCAAGTAGTTATACAGAGTTTATTTCACACAGCGAATGTAGATATGTGTTAAAACAACAAAGCTGATGCATACTGCCCATAAATTGACTAATTCTAGATTTAAAGCTGGGAACGTGTAAGACCCACGCGTCACAACTATACATTTCTTAACTTTTTTTCAACTTTGTAAGGGAAACTTCTCAAAAGCTGAGACCAAAATAATTAAAAGGAAACGTGTATTTGTATAGATGTTAAAATACCCCAGTAAGTACTGTTTCAGGGCGTCTGTTTGTGAAATAGAAATTAAACTAATTAAAAAATGATGGACAACGTCTTACCTCTTCAGAAGGACGTCTCCTATCAGGAAGCACTAGAGTATTTGCATGACTTCCCGGGACTAAAGTAGATCCTATACTCATCCTGGGTCCAACTAGCATGTACCGCTTCTCTCCTGATCTGTACTGGATGCTGTGACACAGTGTCCCATC